TGGTTGTCTCTTTTTTTGTTTTCCCCCCCCCCCCCCTTTTTTTTTTAATTACCAGATTCAAGTGCAGTAAATCAATCTCACAGAAGTGGTTACTTTGCTTTTGTAAGCAGACATTCACTTCTGATCCTATCTTCAAATTAAAGAATATGGTATAAACATTAAAATAATTCTATCTCTGGAGAAAATCACAGCCTTTAAATTTTAAAACTAAATCTTTTGATGGCTGTTTAAGATTTAAATGGAAAAGCACCCAACCTACTGCAAGTAAACATCTTACTGGTGCGTGTGAAGATTTAAAATGGCAGAAAGTGTGTAGCAGTATTGGAATCTCTGGGTAAGGCTTTTCTCATTAAACTTTTTAACAAAAAATGAACCATAAACAGCTTTGTGAGCAGTGAACTTAAAAAGCCCTGGTTTCCTGTGACTCTTCCCTGTGCACATTTGCTGTTATTCTAGTAATTTGGCTGAGCTCCTGCTGCAGCCTTGCTCTCCATGAAGCCCTGTGGCATTTTCACACACATAGACTGCACCTCAAATAACCTGCACCCTACTATGATCTGTGCAACAATGGAGATAAGGTGGTGGACAGAAAGCCATGAATAAAGGTTATACTAAGAAAAATGAAGAAAATATGAATGTGCTTGCTTGACAGAAGGGGGACACTAAACATGCTTGTCCATACTAACCAGGATGATATTCCTGGTTTAAAGTGGGAATTGCTGTTCTGACCATCACTGAGGCTGGAAGTCTCCCTTTCAAAAGGGTTTAATAGCTGCTCTTCAGTCTGCAAATCCTGAAGGTGCCAACTCTCTCACAGGCTGTAAGTTCAGGTTCTGCAGAACCAATACACTTAAAAGATGGTACCCCAAAGAGATGTCATAGAGGAAGGCAGCACTGCAGGCTAACCAGAAATGAACAATTAATTTATGAAGTTCATACAAAACTGTGTTAGCCATTTAAAATCCATGTGTGAGTCCTGGGTGTCTTAGAGAAGCTTTTATGATAGGAGTCACAAGATCCCACTTGGAACCAGTATCTGTGATGCTGGTGCATCAAAGCTTTGTAAATTGCTAACTGATTTGTCTAAGGAATGCCATGAATGACTGTGGTTTATAATAAATTAGTACCTTATCCAAAAATTGTGTGGCAAAGTTTAGCTTTGTACTACTGGACATACTGTGCTCCGAAGGAGACCGCATTCTGGTGATGTATGAAATGGTTTTTTTGCATATACAGCAGCCAAACAAATTGGCTGCATTTCTAGTTTTGGATTGTAAGGCCATAAACATCAAAAAATATATGAAGGAAGCTAATGACTTTTCAACATATTGTGGCAACAAACCAGCCAACACTACTTTTAACCAGTTTGTAGAATAATGTGTTCCTGGCAGCTCACATCAACTCTTCTGCAGAAAAGTTTAACATCAAAGATGTAAACTTCAATGAAATCAGGTTTAAAATACAAAGCTTAAACTATGTGTGAACAGGCAGAAATACTACTGCAGCACAAGAAATAGTTGATACTGGATGTTCATTCTGTAACGTAGAAAAATACAGGCAATTTCCAAAGTGAGCAACTGTTAGATTTATAGTGGAAGGGTGAGGTGAGCAGATACTTTAAGATTATGCAGTATGCAGTGTTAATACTTTTCTACCCATTCAAGTCTTAACAGCTGTTCCATCAAGGGGGGAAAATAAAGGCCCTTGGTTATTCTTAAGCAAGCTGCCAATTTTCCACATGGGATTTGATGGCTAAGAAAATTAGGTTTTCCTAGTCTCATGCTGCTGCAAAGAATAACAGCACACTTAGTAACACTAGTAGAAATAAAAATCCATTATTTCTGAGGAAAAAAAAAAAGGGGGAGGGAATGTCCTAAATTTTTCTTATATACTAAATATCTTACTAATAAAACAAATTCCCTATATAATATCTAGGCTCTTGTATTCTGACACTATTGTTTTGAAGGGACACTGCTCATCACACATTTAAAGTTCCTTAACTGTGTGGTATACAGGCGCAATTATTTGCACTGACAATTTTGTGAGCATCAGAAGAGAAACTATTTGTTCATAAATCAAGTACTATTTCCAACACTCAGGAGCAAAGAAGGATGGAATTTTAAGTGTCAGATATTATAAATTCAGTTATGGCTGTCTTGGATAGAGGCACCTGTCCAAAAAACCACAGATAAGGAGCAAGCAAAGAAAAAACTGCTGGCCTCTAAACCATCTGGAATGGGCACTGTACAAGCCATTATCACCTGAGTGGGGCAGCGTCTTTTTCTTCCTAAATCACAACACAGTCACCTGATGGAGCCAGAGATGTATTCTGTGTACACAAAACTGGATCCCAAGGCAACACACCATACCACCTTCTTAAACCCATCTAACCCGCCTTCTCCCACAGTGAGGGACTCAGATTACCTTCTAACTCCTATGCCACCACCTCCTCATTGCTGGTCATGTAACATCTGGCCTGGCATGTGCACTTGAACTGTCACCACACAGCCATATGTTGGTCATTCCCAGGCTATATATTTGTATATGAACACTCACAGCTGGAACTGAAAAACTCCTACTTCAATATATATACAGTCATATCCTAATGCTGTCTTGTTATTCTTAGGCTGAGTCTCTAATATCTTTTTATAACTTGTTATATCACAGCACCTAGGTATTTGCATGAGATACCAAGGATCCAAATATTTATGCAGAGAGGGAGGAAAAACCCCATCAGCATCTGTTTGCAGAAGTGAAATGGTGGAACTGGTGTGTCAGATAATCTCCCAAAAAGATGTCAGCATTTTCAGCTGCCTGACAGATCTGTCTGCCTGAGTGAGAGTAAACAAGAAAATGGCTCAGCCATTTGGACTAAGTTTAAGGCAAAACAAAGAACAAATTATCCATTTTCATATCAGGTCTTCTGCTCCAGTCTAAAGATGTTCATTTATGATTTCTCCTGCAAGTCCCTTTGGGAACAATGATCAGCACACTGAGTGGCTGGCCAGCCTGGTTGAAGTATTAGTAATTTGGAATGAGAAAAATCTCATGTAGAAACCAAACCTTCAAACAGTAAAGGCACCAGACACACCTTAAACTTCCTCCACATCTTCAATTTATCGGAAATTAGGGATCGTTCTACTTAAGACATTTCCATGGAACTGGTGTCTGAATTCACTTGAATTTTGAGTCATTCTCCTGCTTGCACAGAGTTAGTTCAGATTTATGCTGAAGGAAGAGATTAAACCAAACCCAAATATCTTTTAATACAGTCTTGATCTTTATAAGAAAATGACAGAGCTTATCAGGATGCTAGTCTTACCTCTGTAATAATGAAGAAGTCATCACCGGGCTCTCCCTGCACAACAATTTTTTCTCCATCTTCAAACTGGACAGGTTCCAGTGCATCAGCCACTGTCAGCCGCTCCCATTTGTCCAGGGACTCTAAAATATTGAAGATCATAAAGCTTTATTATAAGAAGACTCTAACTTTGGCTGAAGATTTGTATCTAAACTGACAGCTCTGCTATGGCTGGTTCTGTTATAAAAGAAACATTTCTTTCATCCAGGCACTTTGCACAAACCTCCAGTTGGGAAACATGAATGTATTTATTCATTGTGTCTTAGACTTTAGTAATCACCTAGATAATAATCTTAAAAGTTGGACAGGAAAAGTTGGCTCCTGTTCCCTATGCCTGCAATCTGATCTGCACTGCCCTGATGCTGCAGTGGATTGGAGTAGCCTAAGAGCTGTTTGGAGATACCAGTGATACAGGATTGCTGAGATTCTCTTGCCACATCCCACACCAGATGTCAGAACAAGTCCTGTTGTCTCTTCATCAGAGTTGCACTCAGCTAGTTACTGATGGCCTGCTAGATAAGCAATGTGAAAGTGTGAATGTAAAAGATGACTCTTCCCCATGGGTGAGACCACGCACCACTGAAGACACGGGCAAGACCTTGGTAGCAAAGGTGGCAGTAAGACCAGAGGTTCACACAGACGTTTGAAGTGGCATCCCTGTTTCATTTGCCAGCAAGATGGTTTACAAACTGTTTTTCTTCTCATTCCTCCGCTTAGAGATGTTACAAAACTTCAAACTAAACTTCAAGAAGAAAAAATTTACTGGTCTGTTTTATGAGTAAGGGAGCTAACACAGCCTGCTTCCCATGGCGTGGGGTCCTTATCACCACCTGCAGCTGCCACAAATCCCTATGATACCTACACAGCAAAAAACAGCCTGCAAAAGACAGCAAAAGGCAGCTCCTCCAAGGCTGCTCACTCTCCCACTGCCTTCCTCCTCCCGGGTCTGCTAAGGGATAGATTTTACCTGCCCTGCCTTCAGGGAGAGGAGAGGGGCCAACGATGTCTCTCTCCTCTATCCATTTGCATGAAAATTAAAGGCAATGAATTGTACTTGAACTTCTGTACTTTTATCAGATTTGACTGAAAGAAGTGACAGGTTTAAAAGTTATTAAAAGAAACAGATGATACAACGATATAACCTTCACTGCCTCAAAAAGCGGGGCTAAAATTCATGTACTAGAGCTCTGTTGGTTCTTACTTATTACGCATTATTGAACTAATGTAAGTTAAGACACAGCTTCTGACACCAGGATTAGATTCTGGGCTGTTCTCTCAGACTCTTGTTTCCCCAATTTGTCAAAAAAATTGCTTAGAAGTATTATCTGAGGGTGAAAGAGTTGTTCTTTCTAAGTTCAAATGCGTTTTGGTTGAGCTTAGCACACCGAGTCTGGCAGCAAAACCAGATCAAAGCGCACAGTGCAGCAAAGGTAAGTTTTGAGTTCCCTAACACTCATATATCTCATGGTTTTATGACACTTTCTGTTGCTGTTAGGGAAATTATTACTTCTAGCATTTTACCCACCTATAGTTACTAATGCACTTTCCTGGTGTATTTGTGCCCTTTGGTGCAGAAGCATTAATGTCAAAGACCAAGCCCATACTGTCAATGCAACATCCAAAAAGTGCTCTGTTTGACTAAAGATAAGTATAAAACTCTTTCATACAGACTAGAGTAGGCTTTTTCATTTAAAAAAAAAAAAAAGGAAAGAAAAAAAAGAGAAACAGAACTATGTAATTAACAGTGAAAAGAAAAAGTCTCTTGAAACTTCCTCTTCAGTTGGCTTTATGAAAAATTCAAAGCTAATTCTAGCTCTAGTCACAAAGCGTCCCTCTTTTGCATAAGGGAATTGTATCACTACAAATACATCAGTTAATGAGCAACAGAGCATTATATAGAATATTGTACATGATAAAACTACTAAAGTTTTAGCTGGAGAATTAAAATCAAGCATCAAATGAAGTAGACTCTATGCAATTCTTTTCAATTTCCAAGTTGTACATATCAATTCTTGCTTTACATTTAATTAAACTCCAAAAGGAAGATTTTAAGTTATTCGTTTTCTCATACCTTGTTTGATATACTAAGCGCAGCTACTGATAATCTAAAAAATCCTTAATTATTAAAAAAATATGACTCTTACAATTATATGGCTAGCTACAGACACTAGACAGGCCTCGAAACATATATATAAGAAGCAGGTAGAGGTTTTTCCTCCAAGAAATCACTGAGTTCTGTCCACATTAAGGCATGAACTGAAGTGGACTTCTCAGTACTGTGTTGAGATTTATCATAGAGTCATAGAATAGTTAGGGTTG